AGGGGCGAAAGGTTGTGATTTTCGATGACTTGATCACAGCTCCAAAAGAGACTCAAAGCAAGATCCTCAAGCACTTCATCGATGGACGACACCATCAAATCTCACCGGTGTACCTCTCCCAGTCGTATCACAAGACACCTATGGATATCAGGCTTAATTGCTCTCACATGATCATATATTTACCACCGACACAGCGGCATCGAAAACTGATCGCTGATGAGAACTGCTTCGATGTCAGTGCTTTTTCAGCGTTGAGACCCTATGATTTCTTGTTTTGCGATAAGATAAAGGGCACCTGTGCACGAAATTTTGACGAAAAAATATAAAACATAGTATCAAGGACACAACTCGAAAATGAAAACTTACTGCGTAAAGCAAAAGAAGAAGACAGACAGCGTGCCGGGGAGTGAGCGGCATGAGGTTGCGAAAAATGGTCGACCGATGATTAAATCGAAATGTGCCGAGTGTGGCATCACCAAAGTTTCCTTTGTATCAGGAGGAAAAAAAAAGGCGGGGCGCTCTTTGAGGATGTAGGGCGAACCAGCACCTCGTTGGGTGAGATGGCTGTAAAGGGTCTAGCGAACATGGCGCAGCTAGGTCTTGCGAACGCTGTCAAATCTGACTATGCGAAGAGCAAGTTCAAAAAGACGGCAAACAAGTATCTCGATCAGGCCCTCGATGCGTTTGTTAACGATATGAGCAAAAAGATAAGAGGGGGTGGTGATTATAATGCATATGATGTAAACCAAATACTACCGATGTCGATGTATGCACCCGATGGGGTGAATGATCCAACACATCCTCTTTACGAAGGTGGAGCCTTCGATATTCACAAAGCGATTGGCAAACTACCGAAGCCGAAAAGCGGCTGGACGCTGCCAGGTCACAAATATACCGGTCCCTGGAACCCGCTCGAGAATCAACTGCGCTTCGATCCAAAGACTGGCGAGATTCTTGAGATCTATGACCCACCGGCGAGCCTGACTGATGCAACCGCAATGCGACACGACGTTGATTATGCCGTTTGTGCAAACAAGGCAAACCCAAAAGCGTGTAAGAATGAAGCCGATCGTAAGATGGTAAAAGCACTCGATGCTATACCGTACGATCAGAGGCAGTGGGGTCATTGGCTTGCGAGAAACGTAATCAACACCAAACAGAAGCTAGGTATGGGTGTGGGTGGAAAAAAAAAGTCAAAGCCAAAGGCAAAGTCAAAGCCGAAGGCAAAGTTGACACGTGGCAAGAAGAATTAGCAGATGAGCTTCATAAACCCATCAGGCGAAACTTTACAAAGCGACGCGTTATTGTAAAGGGTATTGATCAGATTTGGTGTTCAGACTTGGTGGAGATGCAAAAGTTTGCAAAGTGGAATAAGGGCTACAGATACCTGTTGATGGTTCTGGATATTTTCAGCAAGTATGGCTGGATCGTTCCTCTGAAGAATAAGAAGGGTGAGAGTGTGGCAGAGGGGTTCAAAAAGATATTTGCCGAGGGGCAGGTGCCGAAGAAAATGTGGACTGATAAAGGTAAGGAGTACTACAATCAAAGTGTCAAAGATCTATTCAAAGCGAAAGGTGTTGAGCTGTACTCGACAGAGAATGAAGAGAAATCGTCTGTGTGTGAGAGATGGAATCGTACGATCAAGACAAAAATGTGGAAGCAGTTTACCATCCAAAACAACACGGTGTATCTCGACATTTTGCCGAAGATTCTAGAGAAGTACAACAACACAAAACACAGATCGATCGGTATGACACCTGTAGAGGCCTCTAAGAAAAAGAATGAGAGCGCCGTCTATTTGAAATTATACGGTGAACAGCTGAACGCTGTGGGTAGGTATCCACCAAAGTTTGCAGTCGGCGATCACGTTCGAATCTCCAAATTCAAGCGGCAGCTTTTTGACAAGGGTTACACCCCAAATTGGTCTGAAGAAATTTTTGTTGTTGATGAGGTGCAATACACAGAGCCCATCACTTACAAGTTGAAAGACCTGCTTGGGGAAGAGATTAAAGGCACTTTCTACGAACAAGAGATGTTGAAGGCGAAGCAGAGCCTTTCAGGTCTTTTCCGCATTGAGAAGGTTATACGAAAGAAGGGAAAACAAGCTCTCGTAAAGTGGAGTGGTTATCCAGAGAAATTTAATTCGTGGGTAGATGTAAAAGATCTTCAGAAATTATGAAAAAAATGAAAAAAAAATGTCTTAAATATGAGAAAGAAATAGATAAGAAAGATTGATGATGGATGAACTTGAAACATATTCAAGGCTGGCACTTATTGCAAAAGGAAAAGAGATGGGTCTGCGAAACTTTCGCGGACTCAAGAAAAAAGAATTGATTGAAATTATCAGAAATCCACCACCAAAAACCCCCGCAAGATACGCAGGTGTGAGAAAAAAGGTGACACTAACACCTATTCAGGTATCACCTGATAATGATCAACCCATAGAAACACTCGTTTTTCCAACGATATACAAGGCTTCAAAACATTTCAACATAAATCCAGCAAGGTTTGGTTCGAAAAAAGATGAGGCAGAAATAGTTATTCATGGAATACGATACTCTCTGACATTTGAGAGTTATACATTGAAAAAAGATATACCACAATGTTGAAGATAGAAGACTTACGTTTTCCTCACTTGAATCGAGTGAGGAAAAACTGTCTTAAAAAGTGAGAAAGAAAAATATGAGAAAGAGTTTTTTTTTGAGATCAAAACTATCTTTACAGGATACATATTTGCATAATGGAGAATAACACTGTTGAGCAACTCCGCAAATTAGCAAAGAAGAGTGGCCTTCACGGCTATGCAAACATTCGAAAAGACGAGCTTATCAGACGCATCAAGCTTGCTCAATCAAAACCAAAAAGCCCTCCCCTGCCCATAGTTATACGAAAGAAGGCAAAGACTCCTAGTACACCTACTCCTGCCACGATTACAGAATTCCGTGAGTTGGCAAAAAAACAAGGTCTTCGTGGAAGAGAGTACAAGAAGCGGCTGCACGAGTTTATACAGTCAAAAAAAACCTCAGGGGTCTAGTACAACACCTCGGGGGTCTAAAGCGGCTTTGAAGAAGAGAGACCCTCGAAAGCCTCTCTTCAAAGCTGTCGAGAAAATGTCTTCATTGAAACACTTTGCAAAGATGTATACCATTGATGGGGGGCCAATAGCTTTGGGGCCGACAAATTATCTTGAATTTGTAAAACCCACCGTTATTAACTTTTTGAATATGCTAAAAAGTAACAAGATAAAGTTCATTTTTAGGTGTGTGATGTCAAAGAAGGTTGGGGGTGAGTTTGTGTTTACGATTGCACATTTTTCAACTTTACAAAAGATCGTCTTTCAAGAGACTGATAGGAAAGAACTTTATGAAGAATGTGTAGAGAAAATGATAAAGAGTTTGGAAAAGTTTGAAAGAAGTGGGAGTGGGTGGACATTTTATCAGGTTGAGGGTTTAGATCTGCATACGGTAAAATACACCCCTCTGAAAGGTTCTTCTTACATTAAGCTGCCAAAACATCTTGCAGATAAAAAAGCGATCATAAACATGGAAAATGAGGATGATGAATGTTTTAAGTGGTGTGTAACGAGAGCTTTGAATCCTGTTCAAAGTAATCCTACTCGCATCACAAAGATTTTGAGAAAACAGGCAGAAAAACTCGTGTGGGGTGGCATCTCCTTTTTAATGGAGGTGAAGGATATTCATCGCTTTGAAAAGTTAAATCCGGAGATTGGTGTCAACGTTTACATGTATGAAAATGGGCTCAACCCCTTGAGAGTGAGCAGCAAAGGTCAAGAGCAAAGCCTTATCGATCTTCTTCTCATTCAAGATGGTGATAAAAAGCATTATTGCCTCATCAAGAATTTGAGTCGGCTCGTTTCGAGTGAGTTGTCAAAGAAAAAGGCGAAGAAGTTTATCTGTAGGAGGTGTCTTAATTATTTCGGTTCTCAGCAACTTCTTGACACTCATGACGCGCTGTGCCGATTTCATGAGGCTGTGAGAGAGAAGATGCCAAAAGATGGGACTACTCTCTATTTCAAAAACCACCACAAGAAGATGGACATGCCGTTTGTCATCTATGCTGATTTTGAATCAATCATTAAACCATTACACTCAGCTCAACCTAATCCCGAAGAGTGTTACACTGAGAAGAAACAACAACATATTCCGGTAAGTTTTTGTTATTATCTCAAGTGCACATTTGACAATAGTTATTCAAAACTGGTTGAATACACAGCAAAGTCTGAAGATGAAGATGTGGCGCAAATATTCGTTGAATCGCTTGAAGCGGAGGTTCAGGCTATTTACGAAGACCACCCTGCTAAAAAGATGATCTTTACAAAGAGTGATGCTGTTGAATTTAAAAATGCAACGTGTTGTTGGTTATGTGGAGAGGATTTCGAAGAGGGAAAGGACAAAGTGCGCGATCATTGCCATTACACCGGTAAATTTCGAGAGGCTGCGCATAACAGCTGCAACCTAAAATTCCAGCGTCCCAAGTTTACACCTGTGGTGTTTCACAACTTGGCAAACTATGACGCTCATCTCTTCGTTAGAAATCTTGGTGTTTCGGAAGGAGACATTGATTGCATACCAAACAACGAAGAAAAATACATTAGCTTTACAAAGCACGTTGTGGTTGAAAAGTTTTTTAATAAAAAGGAAAACAAAGTTGTTGAGGTGAAGAGGGAGTTGAGGTTCATTGACAGCTTCAAATTCATGGCTTCTAGTCTTGACAAGCTTGTTGGAAACCTTGCTAAAAAGGGTGAGTCTTTCTTCCAAAATACAAAAAATTATTATACTGGAGAGAAGCTTAATCTGTTGATGAGAAAGGGTGTTTATCCTTATGAATGGGTGGACTCTATACACAAGCTTGACGAGTTGCAACTTCCACCAAAAGAAGCTTTCTTCTCCGTGTTAAGTGGTAAAGGTATCTCGGATAAAGACTATGCTCATGCTCAAAATGTATGGAGCGTCTTTCGATGTAAGACATTCCGAGATTACCACAATCTCTACAATCAAAGCGACGTTCTTTTACTAGCCGATGTGTTTGAAAACTTTCGTAAGCTTTGCAAAGAGAACTACGATCTCGATCCTTGCTGGTACTTTACCGCACCGGGTTTGGCTTGGGATGCTTGTCTCAAGTTGACTAAGGTAAAACTTGAGTTGTTGAGTGATATAGATATGTTGCACATGTTTGAGGCCGGTATTCGCGGTGGAATTTCAATGATTTCGACAAGGTATGCAAAAGCCAACAACAAATACATGAAAGAAAAGTTTGACCCTACCCAACTTTCAAAGTTCATCATGTATCTCGACGCAAACAACCTTTACGGTTGGGCGATGAGTATGTGTCTACCGACGGGAGGGTTTGAATGGGTAGATGAGAAAGACTTTGGAAAGTGGAAGAGTTTCCCCTGCATTCTCGAAGTCGATCTGAAAGGTGTCAAAGAAGAGCTTCACGATCGCTTCAACGAGTATCCACCCGCTCCTGTAAATCTGTTGATTGGGAAAGTGCATAAGCTAACCTGCACGTTGAATGAAAAGAAGAAGTACATCGTTCATCACAAAGCATTAAAGCATTACATGAGTCTTGGAATCGAGATTGGAAAGATTCATCGCATTATCAGGTTCAATGAAGAACCTTGGATGAAGGAGTACATCGATTTGAACACATCTTTGAGAGCTGAAGCAAAGAATGACTTTGAAAAAGACTTTTATAAGCTGATGAACAACGCTGTCTTTGGTAAAACCATGGAAAACATTCGAAAACGCGTCGATGTGAGACTTGTGACCAGAGAAGAGAAGGCAAAGAAGTTGGCAAACAAGGTCAACTTCAAACATTGCACCATCTTCTCTGAAGATCTCAGCGCAATACATATGGGAAAGACGCAAATTCTCTTCAATAAGCCTCTCTATCTTGGGATGAGCATCCTTGATCTCAGTAAGACATTGATGTACAACTTTCACTACAACTACATCAAACCTAAATATCCAGAGGGTAGATCAAAGCTTCTTTTCACAGACACTGATAGTCTTTGTTATGAGATTCAGACTGAAGATTTTTTCAAAGATATAACTGGTGATGTAGACCATTGGTTTGACACAAGTGAGATCGAAGAAGGACATCCCTCTGGGATACCGACCGGTGTGAACAAGAAGGTGATTGGAATGTTCAAAGATGAAGTAAAAGGAAAGATCATTGAAGAGTTTGTCGGTCTGAGGGCCAAGCTGTACAGCTACAGAATGTTTGATGATGGAACAAAAAAGAAGAAGATCGAGCTTGAAAAGAAAAAATGCAAGGGGATGAAAGAGGGGGTGGTAGATCGCACGATCAGCTTCGATGACTACAAAGAATGTTTGTTTGGCGGTGGTAAACAACTTCGAACAATGAACACGCTTCGGAGTCGAAAACATGAGATGTACATGGAAGAGATTAATAAAGTCGCACTATCTGCAGACGATGACAAGCGAATCATTTTACCAGACAAAATACACACGCACGCGATAGGACATCGATAAATCGTGATAGGTTAGTGGTGGGGGCAAGGTCGGACGGCGCATTCGACGCCTTAAACCTCCCAAGCCCCGCAACCTAATAAGTACATAAAACCACAAAAAGCCGTCACACAACACACTTAAAGACAAATGGCACGTCGTCAAATTATTGTGCATTCACGATGATTTAACGTGAATACCACAAATAGACGATGGGAAAAGTGCAAAAATAACGTGCATGCACGATTATTTGACGTGAATTGGCAAATCGAGATGGGGTAAAGTGCTAAAATAACGTGCATGCACGATAATTTAACGTGAAGGCTACAAACATACTTAAAGAATCTCACGAAAGTGTTAAATTATTGTGCATGCACGTTATTTTAACGATAAACCATAAAACAGGTCATGAAAGTACCAAATTAACGAATATTCACGATAATTTAACGTATTCAGGGAAAATGAGCCAGAAGCCGTTAAATTGCATAGTGAATATACGATAATTTTGATGAGAATAAAATGAGCCAGAACCCGCCCTATGCCTACTACTCCTTATGAGGAGAACGACACGCAATGCTGTTGCAGAGTTCACGTCTTTTAATTTCTCTGCAATTCATTTTATTAGTAAACGAAAATGCTAGTTTCAAGGTAATTTCTGTTATTAATCAAACAATCAATAGAGATTAAAATAGTAAGGAAGAGGAAACAAATACGATTCAATTTTTCAGCGTCTTAAGAAATACTTGTAAATTATTTAAAATCCTTACCTCTACTCGAGGCAATTGTCATCTCGACCGGTTCCTTCTTACACAAAGTAAGCATCAAGTGTTTCTATAGATACTCAGTGTGGTTTCAGCGATTAACGATAAAAGCACCCCTCTGAATTTCATTTGGTAGGTTT